ATTTCCGAATATAAAAATCATACATAGCTGGGCATGATGATGCATTGCTATAATCCTGGTGGCTCAGGGGGCTGAGGCAGGAGCATTGCAAATTCAAAGCCAGTATCAACAACTTAGCAAGACCCTGTCTCAAAAAATAAAAAGGGCTAGGGATGTGGCTTAATGGCTAAATGGCCCTTGGCTTCAATCCATGGTATCCCCCAAACATCATTCATAACTTGAGGGCTGTAAAGCAGCCACCTATATAGTTGATTGTCCTTTGTTGTATAGTTATTTCCACTAGGGAGGAAGAAATTGAATTTTATATTACCAAATCAGATTCTAGGTTTTTCATAAGAAAAATGTAGTTATTCAACCACCCTTCAAATAGCTTATGATAGCTTTATCTTCATAATGCCATCATTGGTTATTGTGCCTTTCTTTATCAGATATGTTTACTCCTAGACACATGAGAAAACAATTACATAGCATACAAAAGAATAGTCTGTTTTCTATCACTCATTCTCCTTTCCATAAGTTATGAATAGATAACTCACAGTGGGATATATATGTTTTCTTTTGCTTTCAGCTGCGTTTGGATGAAGCACAGGAAGCAGAGTGCCAGGTTTTGAAGATGCAGCTGCAGCAGGAACTGGAGCTGTTGAATGCATATCAGAGCAAAATCAAGATGCAGGCTGAGGCACAACATGATCGAGAGCTTCGGGAGCTTGAACAGAGGGTCTCCCTCCGCAGGGCACTCTTAGAACAAAAGGTATAAATAATAGAAGGAAGATAGTTATCCTAGTATGTGCTTTTATCAAAAACATTTTATAAATATGTGCTTTATATTGACAGGTTACATTACATTTCTTTCATAATACCTTATGTCCTTAATTCTAGTTTGGTACAATTTTTTTTTTTTGGTTGCTCTTGGTTTTTTTTAATTATAGATGGACACAATACCTTTATTTTATTTGTTTATTTTTATATGGTGCTGGAGATCGAACCCAGTGCCTCACACATGCTAGGCAAGTGCTCTACCACTGAGCTACAACCCTGAGCCCTTGGTACGGTTTTTGTTTTTACTTTTATTTAAAATTACTAATTCAGTAATGAACCTTATAAATAATGAGTTCTAAAAATCAAAGGATATAGTTTAGTAATAGTTGTTAGAGAAAGAATTTGAGGTTGTGTGCAGTTAGTTGAATTGTGAGAGTAGCAGCTCTGGCTCCATGTTCCTCACTTCTTTTGTATACCTAGCTCTACCTAAGGAGGTTGGAGAGAGACTTGAATAGTGAAGAAAAAGAACTGCAGTAATTGCCTGGGAGAGGCAGGGACAAAGGATCAGGAATATGTACTTTACTCATACATCCTTGGCCTGGAACTATACAGATTGGTGGAAGATTACTGAGGGACAGAAGGTAAAACCAGTTCCACACAGGTGAAAAGTTAGGCTGAAAAATGTTACTTTCTGGTACACCTTTACTTTTTTCTGACTTTTTCTTTGTCAGATATATAGAGAATAGAACTAGAATCTCCAAATTCATTTCCATTCTTTAGGATACCAAGGAGAGAGAGAGAGAGAGAGAGAGAGAGAGAGAGTGAGTGTGTGTGTGTGTGTATTGGGAAATTATAAGAAATGGTAGAATATCAGTTGTACCCAGGATTCAGAGCTATGTTCCAGAATTCTAAGTTCCCAACAGCTGGTATAGTCTCAAGTCTTTTGGGCACTGTTAATACCTGCCTATCAGTCCTCTTAAAGTTGTCACTGTTTGTAGATCATAGGCCTGTAGATTGTCCTCTATTTCCTGCAGCTCTTGTGATAAAAATAGAATACTTTATTAAATTAAAAAATATATATATTTTTTGTTAGTGGTGATGGTACTAGGGATTGAATCTTAGGCCTCACTTATGTGAGACATGTGCAATATCACTGAGCCACACTTTCACAGTCCCCTTAAATGTAACTCTTTTTAAAAACACAAAAAGAAGATGTTACTATTTCTCTTTTTGTTGGTTTTTCGTTGATTTTGGTTTTGAGACAGTCTCGCCTTGTTGCTGAGACTGGCCTTGAAAACTCTGGGGGTTTTTTTGGTACTGGGGATTGAACCCAGGGGCGCTTTACCGCTGAGCTATATATCCCCAGTTTTTTTATTTTTTATTTTGAGACAGTGTTCACTAAGTTGCTTAGGACCTTGCTAAATTGCTGAGGCTGGTCTCAAAATTGTGATCCTCCTGCCTCAGCCTCCCCAGGCTGTGTGTGGGATTATAGGTTTGTGCTACTGCTTCCAGCTTGGTCTTGAACTCTTGATTTCCCTGCCTCAGCCTCCCAAATAGCTGGGATTACGGGCTTGTACCACTAGCCCAGCCCCTTTCTTTCTTTTCTTTTTTTCTCTTAAATTTATTTTTCAACTGATATAGGAAACGTTATAACATAAAAACTGTACAAGGATGTTACTGTTTCTCTGGCACAACTGTCTTTATTACCAGCTTCTTTGAGAGATGCATATTTCTAAAAAAAAATCTGTCAGGTTTCAACTTTCATATTTAAAATAATTATCACTTGAAGGAAAACTCCCTATGGTATTTTAGGTGGTGTGGGAAATATATGGGTACTATTCTAAGTATGGTTGTAATTTTAGCTCCACCTAGTGGTGTAGAGTTCAAGGTCAACTTGCACTTTTTCAGAAAGGTCTTATTTTAATACATGAAAAAATTCTTATGTTAGAAAAGTCTAGTAAAGTGTGAGTATAATACCAATATCCATTGATGAATGTGCAGTGGCACTATTGTACATTATCAGTGCACATTGGGTAGCAATTTAGAATTGTATATTGAGCCCACAAAATGTTAAGAATTTAAAACTTTGAGCATTCTAAGAAAAAGAAATACTAGTATAAGGAAAACAATAGGCAAATATGTTACTTGTAACATTTTGTAATAACTTAAAATAATCTAGCCTTCTAAAGTAGAGTATAATTTAACTAATTAAATAAATATGACTAAGCTACTAATAAAATCCCACCCACCCACCCCAGTGCTGGGGATTAAACCTAGGTCCTTATACATCTTGCACATGCTAATAAGTACTTGCTCTGTCACTGAGCTATATCCCCAGTACCACAAATAAAATCTTACTCAGTCATTTAAATAAGGCCTTCAGGAAAGTATTAACATAGAACTGGGGGCTGGGGATATGGCTCAAGCGGTAGCGCACTCGCCTGGCATGCGTGCGGCCCGGGTTCCATCCTCAGCACCACATACCAACAAAGATGTGTCCGCCGAGAACTAAAAAATAAATATTAAAAATTCTCTCTCTCTCTCTCCCCCTCTCACTCTCTCTTAAAAAAAAAAAAGTCTTTGAAAACATCCTTTTAAAAAAAAAAAAAAAAAAACATAGAACTGGGCCCAGTGTCATATCCCTGTAATCCCAGCAGCTCATGAGGCTGAGGCAAAAGAATCACAAGTTCAAAGCCAACCTCAGCAATTTAGTGAGGCCCTGAGCACCTTAGCAAGACCCTGTCTTTAAATAAAATATAAAAATATAAAAAGAGTTGGGTAGTACAGTGATTAAGTGCTCCTGAGTCCAATCCCTGGTACCAAAAGAAAAAAGAGTTAACATGGGAAACTGCTTGTGGTATTTGAATAAAGTAGAAAAAGGCAAATTGTACTTAAATTGAAGTAGTGTTGGTAGTGGCTAGATTAATATGTTAGACTTATTGGGGTGGGGGGTACTGGGGATTGAACTCAGGGGCACTTGACTTCTGAGCCACATTCCCAGCCCTATTTTGTATTTTATTTAGACAGGGTCTCACTGAGTTGCTAAGTGCCACAGGCAAGTGCCACGCCTTGCCCGTGGCTGACTTTGAACTGTGATCCTCCTGTCTCAGCTTTCCATTAGGATTACAAGGCCTGTGCCACCTTGCCCAGCTGATTGTTTTTTTTTTTTTTTAATGTGGTTTAAAATACATAAGATGCTTTAGTATTTAAAAGAAGAAAAGAACAAAAGGATGATAAATCTATAGTGCTCTGAGATGTTACTTGGTTTGTGGGGCTGTTTACATTTCAAGTGAAGTACATGATTTCATGGCAGTCTGAGGTCAGTTGACATTCACCAAGACTAAGAATCCTATCTACAAAAACTGAAAAATATGGGTTGAAGTTATTGCTTAGCAGTAGACTGTGTAAAATAGCTTTCAAAAGGCTCTGAGTTTAATGTCCAGCACCAAAAAGCCCCCCAGAGTGAATGTTAATGGTCCCTAGAGTGAATGTTAATGAATGTAGTAATTCTGTGTTTGAAGACTACTTTAAGCTTCAAGTGAACAAAAAATTGTTTCTTTAGGTTGAGATACTAAAAACAGAGACTTGGTTATATGTGAAATCTTTTTTTGCAGGGGTGGGGGGTATTAGGGATTGACCCCTGAGCCACATCCCCAGCCCTGTTTTGTATTTTATTTAGAGACAGGGTCTCACTGAATTGCTTAGTGCCTCGAAGTTGCTGAGGCTGACTTTGAACCTGAGGGCCTCCTGCCTCAGCCCCCTGAGCTGCTAGGATTACAGGCATGCATCACCGCACCCAGCCAGTATATATGAAATCTATTTTCAGTTTTTCTCATTCTTCATTTACATTGTTTTTGGCTTAAGTAACAACATAATTATAAATGTTAAATTCCATGTGAATTTTACACATGAATAAAAAGTAGTAGTATTTCCAAAGTATAGTTTTTTTGGTTTTTTGGTACCAGGTATTTAACCCAGGGGCATTTAACCATTTAATTTTTCATTTTGAGATAGGGTCTTGCTAAATTACCCCTCCTTTAATTTTTTCATTTTGAGATAGGGTCTTGCTAAATTGCTGAGCCTGGCCTTGAACTTGCAGTCCTCTTGACTCAGCCTCCAGAGTTGCTGGGAATTATAGACATGTACCACCATGCCCTGCTAGATGGCCTTTTATTATTATTATTATCTCATTTAATTTTCTCCCAATATTTTATTTAGTATCAACATCTTAGTTGATACTGTTTTTTTTTTTTTTTTTGCATTTGAAACATTTATTTCAGGAAATACATTTCAACACTTTTGTTATTTATACAAAAAGAGACGAATTTCTCAGGAGGCACAGAGCTAAAGGCCATTACGGAACACAGCCCAGCAAAACGGTTCAAAATCTGGTTACAGAGAAAGGAAGCAAAGCCTTCCGGAGCCCGGGATTCTGCTAACCCCCCAGGCGACATGGGGGCTGGGGAGGGCGGGGCCATGCGTCCTGGACCCTGGGCTGCACACTTTCAAAGTCTTGGTTTGGGCAAAAACTTGGCAAGTCGGTAGTTGGCATGTAAACTGTGGGGCAGAGGGTTTGTCTTCTCCTGGAATGGGAGGCAGAAGGTCAGCTGTGCATGGTCCCTACCAGTCCCCTCTCGGGGACCAGGCTGTGTCACGGTTAAGCCTTTCTCTGCAGCCTAGGTGTATTCTGTGTATCTCTGACCCCTTGTCTCTCCCTCTCTGGGGACTTTAAAATGGACTCTAGGGTACAGAGGCCCAGGAACGTGGAGGACAACCAGCAGCCAGGCTCTGTGGCCCCCCCGTGTACCCAGGTCTCTGGGGCAGTGAGGGCTGAGCAGGAGCAAAGCTGGTGAAGGTGGAGGAGGGGCATGAGTGTAGCCGGAGCGTCTGGGCCAAGCCGAACTCCACAGGTGCAAATGCACCTCCTGCGCCCGCAGGGTGGCCCCCCGCTTCGCCCCTCACCCCTCCACCAGAGTGCGGGACATGCCCAAAATTCAGGGTGGAGGTACCTCCGTCCTTTAATCCTCACCAGATCGCACTGCAGCACCCACAGGCAAAGGGAGGAGAGGGGACACCACAGGCCTCCTGCCTGCAGCCTGTCTGGCCTGAGGGGACACACAGGGACGCTGAGATAAGGCACTTTCTGCTCCGGGCTCATGGGCGGGCAGGGGCAGCCGGGGACTTGCCACCTCTAAGCAGTGGGCAAGCTGGGCTGTGGAACTCTAGTCTCCCCTCGGGAGCAGGGGCAGGCGGGGTGCGGAGTCACGTCCCATGACATGTAGGGGGCAGGAGGGGCTCCAGGTCCACCTGCTGGCTCTGTCCTCCCCTGGGTACAGCCTCCGACAGGGGCCAGGGGACGTGGCCACTGGGACAGAGTATGGCTCAGTGGTCATCCCTGCACCCTGGACCTGGCCCAAGCACAGACCCCCCCAGCTCTGCAGGCTCCGTGCAGGGGGCAGAGAGTGGCTCTCCTGGCCCCCGGGAGCTGGACCTGGGCGGGGGTTGGATCCAGCGGGCCCTCCCTTCTGCCCACCGCCCAGCCCTCCCAGCCCTCAGGAAGGCCAGAGGCTGGCCCGGGCCCAGGACCAGACCGAGGTCCAGCCATGTGCCCGGAGACCTCGGGCTGGTGCAGAGCACATGGGGTGACCCGGCAGTGTGTAAAAGGGGCGGGTGACAAATGGAGAGAATGATATGAAATAAGACGGGTGAGTGGGCGGGCCTGGGGCGTGGGGGACTCGGGTGGGTCCCGGGGGCGTCTACATCTCCTCAGCGTCTGGCTCCTTCTCCAGCCCGTTGGCCAGGGTGCTGCTGCCCTCGCTGAGGCGCTTCACACGGTAGGCTTCGAAGTGGATGCTGCTGGTGATGTCCTTGATGTTCTGCATGTGCGTCCTGATGAGCAGGTCCCGCAGGTAGGCAAACTCACAGTGCGTGGTGTTCTCGACTTCAATGGTGCCCCACTTGGTCTTCCTCCCGAGGATCCGCTTGCCATTGACTTGGTACTCCTGGTCACTGCCCACCACGGCAAACGGGATCATCTCCCGGAACTTCTCGTTCACCAGCCTGTCCTCCGAGTCCTCGTCAAACTCCTTCTGGGGGTACACGTCGATGCCGTTGGACAGCAGGTCTGCGGTGATCCGCTGTTTGAAGTAGACCCTCTCCTCCAGGGTCAGTGTGTCAGCCTTGGCAATGACGGGGACGATGTTGACCACCTTGCTTAGGCGCTTCATGAACTCGATGTCCAGGGGCCTGAGGGAGTGGCCCGTGGCAGGGATGAAGTAGAGGCAGCAGTGGACGCGCGTGTCCGGGATGCGCTTCTTCCGGTTGATGTTGACCTCCTCCTGCAAGTACTTCTCGTACTGTTCGTTGATGAACTTCATGATCGGCTGCCAGCAGTTCTCGTTATTGATGTGGTCCCCAAAGCCCGGCGTGTCGATTACCGTCAGCTTCATCCGGACGCCCTTCTCCTCGATATCGTGTGTGATGGACTTGATCTCGATGGTCTTGGGGATGCGCTCCTCCGAGGGGGGCTGCACCGACTTCCGGCTGATCTTGGATTTGAAGAGGGTGTTGATTAAGGTGGACTTCCCCAGGCCGCTCTGCCCCACCACCATGATGTTGAACTCGAAGCCCTGCTTCATGGCCTTCCTCCGCATCTGCTCCAGGATGGAGTCGATGCCCACGTAGCCGAACTCCACGGGGGCCTTCTCGTTCCGCGTGGCCGCGGCCTGCTTGAGGGCGGCATCCCTGGAGGAGTCGGCCATGTTGCCAGCGCTGCGGGGAGCTGCCTCGGGGACCTCGGGGCTCCTGGGCAGGGCCTCGGCCAGCGGGGGCTTGGGCTCCAGCCTGCTCTGCAGCTGGGACGTCAGGGCAGGCTCTGAATTCTCCAGGGTCTGGGGTGGGAGGGGACAGGCGGGCGCCTCGGCCGGCTTGGGCACCTGGATCTCCACCCTCTTGGGGGCTGCGTCGACGGCAGGGCTGGCAGGCACCTCGGGGGTCTTGGAGGCAGGGGCCTCCATCCTGCGGTGGGCTGGCTCCGGGGGCTTGACGATGGTGACCTCCGTCCTCCGAGGGGTCGGGTCTGGGGTCTTGTGGCCCAGCGCCTCGGCCCTCTTGAGCCCGAACCGGGCCGGCCCAGGGGTGGCCGCGCTCTCCACCTGCTTGGACGAGATGTCGATGGAGAGCTCCGTGCGGCGGGACACGGGTTCAGGCACCTTGGACCCCGCGAGCTCCACCCTCCGCAGGGCAGGCTTGGGCGAGCGCTGGCCCAGGGGGTCTACATGGCGGGCGGAGGGCTCTGAGTTCTTCACACCCAGGTCCTGGAACTTCTGGGTGGAGCTGGCCACAGTGGCCCGGAGCAGGGGCGTCTGGACCCGCCGGGGCGGGGTTGAGTTGGGTGGCTCGGCCTCCCCGACCTCGAAGGACCTCTTCAAGGCTTCGAAGTCCGAAATGATCCCGTCCAGCTGCGCGTTGACCGCGGGGTCGGACATGGTGGCTGGTGGGCAGGGAGTTGCGCAGAGGGCGGCGGCGAGGAAGCGCCCCCGGCCGGGCCCGAGCCCTGCGCGCTGGCTGGGGCGCCGCGCCCGTGCTCCTGCAGTGCAGAGATCGCCGCCGGAGCCCCTCCGATACTGTTTAAGTAAGAATTAATAATTGGAATATCTTTATATATTTTTATATATATATATATTTTTTTTAAGAGAGAGTGTGAGGGAGAGAGAGAGAATTTTTTAATATTTATTAGTTTTTGGCGGACACAACATCTTTGTTTGTATGTGGTGCTGAGGATCGAACCCGGGCCGCACGCATGCCAGGCGAGCGCACTACCGCTTGAGCCACATCCCCAGCCCTAATTGGAATATCTTACAAGACCTTTCTTTTTGAAAATGAAAATATTCACACAAAAAGATCATAATTGGTTTCTAAGAAGATAGGTTGGGAAAGCCTCTCAGAAGTTTAATTATGGTAACTACCTGCTTAGGAAAAACCACTTATCTAGTTTGTAGTAATAAATAACATGTTTTAAAAGGAATAATGAGTAACCTGTCACAAATCTTAGATTTGAATTTTATTTAGTTGAAAAAAATTCTAGAATATTCAAGATCCTAGGTTGATTCCCCACCCAGCATTGCCAACAAAAAGAAAAAAAAAAAAGGTATGACAAAACTTAGCAGCATAAAAAAATTGAAGCAATGCTTACTGGGAAATATTGATAAGTATTAATTTGTTTATTTTTTCCTCCTTTTACATTTTGTATTGGTGCATTATAGTTATACATAATGATGGGATTTGTTGTTATATATTTGTTGTTATATATTTGTACATGTACACAATATAACTGGGCCAGTATCATTCCCCAGCACTTCTTCCCTCTCCTCTATTCCCATGCCTTTCTTCTACTTATCTACCTTTGAATTTCATGAGATCCCTGCCCTCCCCACCCCTCCCCTTGAACTTCTGAATTTGGGTTATTTCCCTTAACATAATTTCATTTTTCTTTATGGCTCAGTAAAACTCTATTGTGTATGTATATCACATTTTCTCTATCCATTCATCTATTGATTTACACTTAGGCTGGTTTCACATAGTTTGGCTATTTTTAATTGTGCTGCTATAAACATGAATATGCCTGTATCACTATAGTATAATGATTTTAATTCTTGAGGATAAATACTGAGGAGTGATATAGCTGGGTCATATGGTGGTTCCATACCTAGTCTTTTTTTTTTAATTTATTTTTTATTCTACTTTGTTATGTATGATAGCAGAATACATGACAATTCATATTACACATATAGAGCACAATTTTTCATATCTCTGCTTGTATATAAAGTATATTCACATCTTTCATGTATTCATACATGTACCTAGGATAATGGTGTCCATCTCATTCCACTGTCTTTTTTACCCCCATGCCCCCTTCTTTTCCCCTTCCACGACTTTGCCCTATCTAAAATTCATCTAATCCTCCCATGTTCCCTCTCCCAACTCCACTATGAATCAGCCTCTTATATCAGAGAAAACATTCAGCATTTGGTTTTTTGGGACTGGACAACTTCTTGGCATTATATCCTCCACGTCCATTCATCAACCTGCAAATGCCATGATTTTATTCTCTTTTGTTGTTGAGTAATATTCCGTTGTGTATATATACCACATTCTCTTTATCCATTCATCTACTGAAGGACATATAGGTTAGTTTCACAGTTTAACTGTTGTGAATTGTGCTGTTATAAACTTTGATGTGGCTGTGTCCCTGTAGTATGCTGTTTTTAAGTCCTTTGGGAATAGACTAAGGAATGGGATAGCTGGGTCAAATGGTGTTCCATTCCCAGTTTTCCAAGGAATTTCCATACTGCTTTCCATAATGGCTGCACCAGTTTGCAGTCCCACCAGCAATGTATGAGTGTGCCTTTTTCCCCACATCCTCACCAACATTTATTGTTGTTTGTATTCTTAATAGCTGCCATTCTAACTGGAGTGAGATGAAATCTTAGATTAGTTTTGGTTTGCATTTCTCTAGTTGCTAGAGATGTTGAATATTTTTTCATATATTTGTTGATTGATTGTGTATCATCTTCTGAGAAGTATATTCAGTTCCTTGGCCCATTTATTGATTGAGTTATTTGTTTTTTTGGTGTTTATCTTTTTGAGTTCTTTATATACTCTAAAGATTAGTGTTCTATTTAATGCATATCTAGTATTTTGAGGAACCTCTATACTGATTTCCATAGTGCTTATACTAATTTACAATCATTTCAACAGTGTAAAAGTGTTCCCTTTTCTCCACATCCTCTTCAGTATTTATTATTGTTTTTTTTTGTTGTTGTTGTTGTTGTTTGTTTTTGTTTTTTTAAAGAGAGAGAGGGGGACAGAGAGAGAGAGAGAGAATTTTAACATTTATTTATTTTTTCTTAGTTCTCGGCAGACACAACATCTTCGTTTGCATGTGGTGCTGAGGATCGAACCCCGGCCACACGCACCTAGGCGAGCGCGCTACTGCTTGAGCCACATCCCCAGCCCCTATTGTTTGTTTTTGATGGCTGGTATTCTGACTGGTGTAAGATGAAATCTCAGTATGGTTTTGATTTGCATTTCCCTAATTGCTAATGATTGGAATATTTTTTTATATATTTATTGGCCATTTGTATTTTTTCTTTTGAGAAATGTTGTTTAATTCATTTACGCATTTATTAGTTGGGTTATTTGGGGAGGGGGTTGTTGTTTTGCATTCTTTATATATTCTGGATATTAATTTGGCAGAAGGATAGTAGCAAAGATTTTCTCCCATTCTGTAAATTCTCTCTTCACATTCCTAATTATTTCCTTTGATGTGCAGAAGCTTTTTAATTTGACGTCATCCCATTTATTAACAGTTGGCATTGCTTCCTGAGTGTTAGGAGTCCTACTGAAAGTTGTTGCCTGTGCCTTTATGCTGGAGTGTTGGCCCTACGTTATCTTCTAGGGCTTGCATAGTTTCTGGTCTAATTCCTATGTCTTTGATCCATTTTGCATTCATTTTTGTGCAGGGTGAGAGATAAGAGTCTACTTTCATTCTTCTATGTATGGATAACCAGTTTTCCCAGCACCACTGGTTCAAAAGCCTATCTTTTCTCGAGTGAATGTTTTTGGTATATTTGTTAAGGATCAGATGATAGTAGATATGTGGGTTTGTCTCTGTGTTCTTCTGTTCTGTTTCATTGGTTTTATTATTTTATCATGAGTTCCCTTCAGATATATGTAGAAATTCAGTTCATTTATATGCCTACCACATTCTCATCATTTATTACATCTTGAATTAAGATAAATATTTTAGTGAATGAATTTTTTACATTTTTATTTAAAAGAAAAACTGAATCCTTAAAGATGTGTAAATTTAATTCTGTATGAATTGGGTATTTTATAGAAATATTAAAATAATGGGAAAATTATTTTACAGATACTTGTGTAGAAGTGGGGGGGTACCAAGGTTGAACTGAGAAAAGTAGTCTGTGAGCTACATCCCCAGTTCTACATGTTTTGTTAAACTTGGAAAATATTGAGAAGCATAAAAAGAACTTAAAATTTGTCCTTCATTCTATCACTGAGAAATTACCACATTTAACAATTTAATCTCTCTCAGAAGAAATCATGTTTAATCTGTATCCTCCTTCAACTTTCATATAAAATGCCTTTCTAAACCTATTTTATTAACATTTTTACACTTAGAATACAAATTTTTTTAAATTTACTTTTTTATTTTTTGTAGTTGTAAAATAGACAGAATGCCTTTATTTGTTTATTTTTATGTGGTTCTGGGGATCAAACCCAGTGCCTCACACATGCTAGGCAAGGTCTCTGCTACTGAACTATGGCCCCAACCCCTTTTTTATTTAAAAAAAAAAAAATGTTATATATGGACACAATACCTTTGTTTGTTTATTTGTTTTATATGTGGTGCTGAGTATCGAACCCAGTGCCTCACACGTGCTACACAAGCACTCTACCACTGAGCCACTGAGCCACAACCCCAGCCCTAGAATACAAATTCTTATTTATTTGTTTATTTATTTATTTATTAGTTTTTTAGATTAATACAATATCTTCATTTTATTTTTATGTGGTTCTGAGGATCAAACCCAGTGCCTCATGTGTGCTAGGCGAGTACTCTACCACTGAGCCACAATTCCAAATTTGAATTTAAATCCCAGTTTTAAATTCTTAAAACTCTTATTTTTACCTATTTACTTTTTGGGGGTACTGGAATTCATTATTTCTCTATGCCTTTCCACCTTTCCTGTGTTAAAAAAAATCTTTTCCTGACTTGTGCATCTGGTCAACTTCTATTGTTCCTTTACAATCCAGTATATAAACCATCTTTTTTTGAGAAGATTTCTTTGCCCCTTAACACTTCCATATAATGTAAATGATTTCATCCTATATCTATAAATCTCTTATAAGTTATTATATTCTATTGCAATCTTGTATGTGCTTTCTATGTAAAAGAAGTGTATTTTTTAAAGGGCACTTTTATAAACTTGATGTATAAAAAACTAAACATATTTGTTCAGCTAGATTTCTGTAGAGAACAATGACTATTGAAAATATGGATAGGACTTTGAAATCACATTAATTGCAGTTAATAACCATAATTCCATTGTTATATCTAACAAAATTAATAACTTTGTAGTTCACATCTAAATTTCCCCTATTATCTCAAAAAAGTCCCCCACCCCCTCGGTATTGGGGATTGGACCCTGAGGTGCTTTACCACTGAGCCACATCCCCAACCCTTTTTAAAATTTTGAGACAGGGTCTAAGTTGCTGAGGGCCTTGCCGAGTTGCTGAGACTGGCCTTGATACTGTGATCCTCCTGCCTTAGCCTCCCAAGTTGCTGAGGTTACACTGTGCAAGGCAAAACAATACTCTTTACAGTTGGTTTATTTGGATTGAAGCCCAAACAAGGTCCATACATTTGGCTAATTGCCTTTTAAGCTTTCTCGTCTATCAGTACCCTTTACCGTATTTTAATTATGAGTTGAATCATGCACTATAGAAATGTCTAAATTCTGGGTTTGGCTGATTATATCATCATGGTGTCATTTATATTTTCCTCTCTTCTACTTGCTATTTTCTATAAT